AAAATTCAAATCTAGAAGACATCATAAACATATACGGATATAATATATTCACACATACAGTGTAGTATATGATTAGCCGTTTAATTTATTCATGAATATTTCAATGCAACATTTTAACTGCATTTATCAGACAACACAGTCCGATACTCGGTAGCACAGTGGTTAGGGCAGTGTGCTATGAACCCTGTAACCAGAATTCGATTCCTGGACGTCGATATCCGAACCAGTCCACGAGTATATGGTGTGGTTTGAACCTATCCTCGGCTTCCATTATTTACCAAACCGCATTGACCTGCTTGGTAAAGTTTGCTTAAACAACCCTCGGGACTTTTACAGTTCAGGGAATCTTTCATCAAACAGTGGATTGACAAAGGGCCGCAACTTGGTGGAATTACTCGTTCATCTCCATAGAAATTGAGATCATGAGGCAAAGCTCATTTTCAATTATGTCCCTGACCAGACAGTGTAAATTCCACATTACCATGGTAGGGGCAAGTAAATCCCTTTGACAACCACTACTGGAAACTCCACCACCGCACAATGAGAACTCATGTCAATTGAAGAGGCATGATGGGCCGAGACACCCCCGACTGAAATCACAACCTTCCGATTGCAAATTGAGTGCATTACCGGGGCTGGCTTTCATTAATTAGGGAAAAGGGGTTAGTCAGTAGTGTACAATATTAAACGAAACAAGGACAACGTCTCATCGACAATCAATGCAATAATCTATTGTATTGCTTATATTCGGCCATAGGTCATTTGACATAAACCAACTGAGGGCAATGTCATTGGCTGCCGAACAATACTCGTGAAAATAACTACTATATTATAATTAGGAGTTCTTTGCAGGCTGTAATTGCGAGTGCCTGTGGTATATTAAAGGGGGTCACTAGAGAACAAGGGTAATTCCGGTGATATTGTCCTGGGCAGCTGCGGGAGGATATGTCTTTTTGCAGTGACCTTTACACACTCACACAGTCATTGCTCCTATGTATTAATGTATAATCCCCAGAAATAGGACACTGCTAATTTGATCTGTGCTTCATTCGCATTTAAGCGACAAGAAATAAAAAAAATACAGCGTTTTATAACAATCACCATCATGTACTACCCAAATAGGTCGTGACACATCGAACAATTTTAGATATTAGCTGATTCCTTTCGCTCAGCAGACTTGCAGAATTATATGTTCTCTTTCTCATTCTATTTGTTTGTCTCTTGCCCCACACTCATTTTATTGAAATTAACTGGTGATGACACATTCCCAGTCCGTGAACACAATTTAGAGATGTGAATCATCCTTACAGTCCCCACATGTGGTAACACCGTTTAAATAGACACAAGCCTATGAGTATGAAAATTAATTTGAGATTGAGCGTCAAACTGCTATATGTGTATTTGATTACCATCACTGTATGTATGAGCATATGACGTCAGGCAAGTCATCAAGCAATGTGAGTGTGAACACTGGTTCAGAGCGGGTCTGCTTTAAATGCATATTGGGGGAACATTGGACCAGAAAACCCACAGGCTGATGAACGTATATGGTATTATAATTTTTGGTTGTGAAAAAAACCCCTTTGTTTATGAGTAAGTTCTATAGGTGTCTTACTGATGTATCCATAATTCTTGAATGTTATCCCCTCATGCATAGATTCTCTCTCAGCAGTGTTCACACATAAAAGATAGAAGTTTACTTATCATTGTGCTTGAAATATAACTATAGTTGCAAGATTAACACATGTTAACATAACTCTTTTCTGAAACAAAAATATTCGTAACAATTTAGGTTATGTAATTTCTACGTAGTGTTCATAACGATTTAATTGTTGATTCATTTTAATTTGGGTTTTAAGATTTTGTGTAAACTATGTTGTTTTATCCATATGATTGACAATAACGGCCATAGGTGGACAGGCCTTCATGTTTACCTGGAAATCACGCGTAGGGTCCGCTGAAATTAGGCCTCATAAAGCTGTATTGCATTAAGAAATACAGGGTAATCCATTTATAGTTAACCAACTTAAATGATAGCGAGAAATTACAGTATAGAAAACACGTTTATTTCAATGCCTCTACATGTTTCTCAGCAATATCAATACAGTACTTTAAACTTGTTGCAGTAATTTGTTAAATTTATATTATCTTCATGATATTTATATAGCGCCTTTACCAAGGCACTTTACAGCAATTATATAGACACAGACCCAATTTCAACCGAGAGGATGGGTACAAACTGAGCAATCATTGGAAGGACGTTATGATATTCCCATCCTACCACCTTCCGATGTTAGTTGTGCTTTACGCCCATTTCAAACTTGCGCTTTCACAGTCACTTCGCGCGCCGACCCCTGGGTTGCGGCTCTGCGATCTCCCATTAACATGCTAATCTCTCTTTAACATGCAAATTTTCACCTGGCAGCCCTCTGATTGGTGGAAAACCAACCACCGTCGGGTTGGCTGCCCACCACTTACATTTTCATTGGCTGCTGATATTTGGGCTACACCCATTTCAAACCCTTATAAACAGTTTGCCTTGGAAGCTAACCCCTCTTTTCCTGAAAACGACCACTCGTGTTGCGATCGAAACGTCGTAGTTTTTTGCTATTTTTTGTTATTTTCTTTGAACCTATCTACGTGACTTTACCGAAAAACCCAAGAATATTAAATTGTACATAGCATGGCAATAATTGACAGAAAGAATTGGGTTATTGTACGTGGTGTAGTTTTGATGCAGCAAATCAATATGGATTGATAAAGAGGGTTTGGGATAGGCCTGGTCGTATTTGGGGGCGACAGAAAGCTGGGGGGCTGAAAGGTAATCAGCCAACATTGCATTGGGAAGACAATAGAAGGCGGCGAGGGGCTGGAACCGGGAGGGAGAAAGGGGCCACCGCCATCGAGTCCCCTGCTCCGCCGACGATGTCCGCAATGTCCGTGCAGTGCAGCAGCGGAGTCCCGGCCGGGACTGCGACGAGGAAGAATGCGCAGCCTCGGCCCGGCTCACTTGCCATGTATGGTTTTAGTTACTGTAGCTACATACTATTAACACTCCTTCCCTTTATTAATGCTAACCCTATCCCCTCCTTTTGATGCTGCTAATCCTGCATAATGCACGGGCATAAGTAGTACTAATCACATACCTGCATTTCCCATAAATATGCTAAATTCCTCTTGATATACAATTTCCTTTGTCAAGGCGCTCTTCCCCCTCCAACCCAGCTTAAATATACGCTGCCAAGCCTGGTGGTGTTCATTCAGACGCTGTCTTTCTGACAGACCTGTTCTTCACCTGAGGACGGCTGCTTGCGTTGTGGCCGAAACGTCGTGACTTATTTTATTATGTTTCATTTTTATTATTTTATTATTTCCATTCTACGTGACTTTACCGAAAGAACCAAGAAGGTTAAAATTATATATTTCTCTAAATTTCGATAGATTATCTAATTAGTCTTGGCCAGTAGTAACTAGTTTTGCACAAAACTTCAACATTATCAAAATCAATTGAGTGTCCTTGTTGGCACGCGTGTTCTGCTACTGCCGACAGTTGTATTTAGGAGTATTTAAACACATTCCTGCGGAGGGAGCTGGTAGGAATGTTGGGTTGCTCGGTCAATGGCCAGGGTCAACGGCGGCGTGGTGTATTCCGCAAATATGCCCGACTGTGAGGACGGGCACAAGCCAGCGTGAGTAGGTTAAACGTTGAGTTTCATAAGGGCACCACGGGGTGACCAGCCCCTCTCCAAAATAAAGGCAAAAAACCCACAACGTTTTGATTGCAAATCTGATGAAAGACCGCTTGTGGATTCACTCTTCAACACACCGGTGGGCTAAAGTAGTGAATTATTTGTCTTTTGTCAACGTGACACCTTTTTTACTGATTGGCCGTGTCGGGTGGTGGAGTGTTACGACACATATATAAATAACGCGATCTAACCCAAAAACATTTATTATGAACTAGCTTTACTACCCGGCTTCGCCTGGGATTGGATTCACCACGCCCGGCCGCCTTTGTCTCCCCAGTTGCGATGTTCACACACCACACCAGTTACTCGTTTGAGGCTGAGTGGACCTAGGGGAGGGCCCAGGACCGGTTCAAATAATCGTCACCGGTGGTGGCCGTGAACGGGAATCGAACTCGGGTTGCCGGGTTCGTAGCGCAGCGCGCTAACCACTACACTACAATGCGTTACGCTTCCACGTGCGCGGGTCACGTGACAGATGTGACGTCACAGCTCACTTGCCGTGCAAAAAATATATGCATTATTGAGCATCCCCCCCCCCCCCAAAAAACACACAAAAGTGTATTTTTTTAATAATTTTTGCATGGTGTACAGTCTGGAAAGTACCCACATGGCAAATTTCCAGTTTTTTGCATGTCGGGAAGTATGCTAAGCATTTTGAACAGACACACATAATCACAACTTTGCCTTTTCTATATATGGAGATAATATTGGTCGCGAAAACCTCGGTGTTAAACTTGTTATATCATCATAGCCAACTCTTGCGAACCACTTCACTTGATGCACACCTTGATGACTCCACGCAGAAGTAATCCACGTTAAAGTAAATTTTAGTGGCTAAGTTTATCATACATTTGGGTAAATTTATATAACAGTAAAAAAAAACAATTACGTAACCCATAGTTCACACAGCCCCATTTTCCTGTGCAAATGGAAATCTTCGTCTACAGGAAGACGTCTGCGTCTTCCGGAAGCCCTCTTCCACTTTGGGAAGAAAGGTTTTCCTCCATCCTGGAAGATGTTTCCTCTTCCAGAAGTCTCGGAAGATGTCTTCCGATTCCGGAAGATGCCTTCCAATTCCGGAAGATGTCTTCTGATTCCGGAAGATGCCTTCCTATTCCGGAAGATGCTCTACGTCTACGCCTGGTAGCGGAAGTGAAAAAGTCGTAAACAAAAAAAACCCACCGTGGTGGTGACGTCACGCGCGTGCGGCGCGCTGATTGGACGGCGCTGGCTCACGCGAGGCCGCGCGCCACGGGGACAGCGACTCGCACACACAGAGGGCCTCAGCACAGACACGAATATTCACACAGAGACTCACACGAATATTCACACACAGAGACTCACACGAATATTCACACAGAGGCTCACACGAATATTCACACAGAGACTCACACGAATATTCACACAGAGACTCACGAATATTCACACAGAGACTCACACGAATATTCACACACAGAGACTCACACGAATATTCACACACAGAGACTCACACGAATATTCACACAGAGACTCACACGAATATTCACACACAGAGACTCACACGAATATTCACACAGAGGCTAACACGAATATTCACGCACAGAGACACAGGGAATCTTGATTGACTCACACACAGCGGGACATAACAAACACATAGAGACTCGGCTCATGCAGAGATACAGAAACTCGAACATAGTGTAATGCACGGAGATACAAAGTAATACAGTCTTAACACAGACTGATGCATAGACAGTTTAATGCAACAGACGGACTTAATACATAGCCATCGTGAGTTTCATACATTGAGTGTTCGGTTTAGTCACAAAGACGCCGAGACACCCAGGCGTGGGACAAGAAGACACTAAAGACATCACCAGGAGGCTGTGGTAAGGATGGCTTGGCTCTGGTGGTACTATTTAGTTGGTGCTTAGGGTATCATCATTGTTGTGTTGATAATGGTGTAGGTGCTCTGAGGGTAGTGATGTGGATGTCGATAATTGTTATCATGGTTGTGGTATTGCTGTTGGTGGTTTTTGATGGTTGTTGAGGTGCAGGGGGCAGAGGAGCGACGCTCACAACAACGAGCGGACCGCCGGGTGGGTAAAATACAGCAACAAAGAATATAATAAGTATAACCCGTAAAAACAAAGTTTTTAACTATAAATCCTTTATATGCGTGGCGGTTAGAGTCCTCTCGTCCTCTGGCTTGAGATGGCTGCCACCTATGGGTCAGATGATTGTCTGCCAGTATTAAACAATTGGTAATTAAATATTTAATTTGTTTTCCCTAAACAGTGTAAAATTTTGGAAAAAAAATTTCACGAACATTAATTGTCTCGCACAACGAGTCTGTGTGCAAAATGTCAGCTCGATTGGATCACGGGAAGTGGGTTAAAAAAACGACCGAAAGGTTTGCACGGTCGTAAGCAAGCAAGCAAGCACGCAAGCAAGCGAACTTAATATAAAGAATATAAAAATACAGCAAGTTGGCACAGCAGGGGGTACAAGCTTGGTGTATGTACCAGTCATCTCATTCAGCCAACCCATGGCACTTGCTGGGTCTGTCCTGAGACCTGTCGGCGAGCATTCGACACTTCACGTGGCCTCAAAGTTCACCGAGCCTGGCACAAGCGCCCTGTTGACGTTACCGTCACTTAGTGGCGAATGGCGGGTATTGTTGTTGAATTGGTTGTTGATTGTATTGTGTTGGTGGGTGGTAATATGATTCTGTTGTATGATTATTAGCGTGCTGCTTCGATGATGTGTATTGGTTTCTTAGCGTTAGTGGCGTATCTGCTGTTAGTGTTTGTGTTGCTATTAGGTTGTTGGCAATATTCACGATGGTCTTGGTACATTTTACACAGTATGTATTCATGTTATTGATGGTCGTGGTGGTGGCTTTGTTGTGGTATTGGTGTTTGGTGTCGGTAATTATTTTGTCACAGTCTTTTTTCAAGTGTTATTGATGGTGGTGCTGTATTGTATTAGCATTGGTGTTGCTAATGTTTTTTGTGTCGTAGCATTTGCGGTGGTTGTGTTGTTTCATTAGTAGTGGTGGTCTTTTTAATGTGTTTTAGTTGCAGTGTTGTTTGAAGTAGTGTTGCTGCAGTTGTTAAGGTTGTTTGTGATGTTTTTGTTCGTGTTGGTGACCGGAGGCGTGTAGGTGGGCAAGGCCTGGCTGGAGCTTTCCTATTGGTCGTCTGGTCGCCTTGTTATTGTTGACTCTTGTGTTTTGCATTTGGCACATGCTCGAACGATAAGTGGGTGAAATGCTTCCATTAAATATAGTAAAATGGCCCATCTGAATTTCATTGCATGATATATGCCCCGTGGATGCAATAGTCACAACATCTCATGCAATCATAATCACATATTGTGTGGATGCAGTATTCACCTGGTCCACGAGTTCTTTGGTCATGAGTACATTATATTGTTTTTTTACTGGGTGAAATATTGGATCTTCATTGGCTGAAACGTGCATTGGGTGATCACAACATAAACAACCCAGTCAAATTAATTAGATCACACTCAACTCAGTTGGCTTCTTAGATCCAGTTTGGATAGTTCATGGTGGAAACCAGTCTCTCCATAGGATGCCCACCGTTGACTTCCCAGTTGGTACTTATTTTAGCAACCCCCAGAAGGATGATGAGCTGAGTTGACCCCCAAGTAGGATTCACATTCGGATGCTGTAACATCAGGCCACATTCGGTCTTTATTGAATTAAATGTCCGTCATCTGAAAATGTAATAACTTTTGCATTGGGCTAAAAGTTGAATCCACGTTACTTGTGTCTTCATGGGATGAAGAGTACATTAGAGGAAAACATCATATGAACCTTACGGTGGGACCCCGGGTTCCCATAAGCCCCTGGCTCTCGCATAAACTGCGTTGCGACGTCATTTTATGTCTGTTGAAGGCGAACCATACGGCAATCTATTCCTCTCAACGAGTTCTACACAATGCGCTAATCCGAGTTTCAAAGTTTTGTTTCTTCTGCGCATTCGTCCTCGCTGCGTTTGGACGACATGAACACAGAATGATCTGCGCCAGGTGGGACGGAGTCGCCAAAACTAAATGTATTAATTACGATTTTGACTTCCGTTTATTCATAAGGTCCATATGATGTATTATTCACTGGCAGACAGATCAGCAGTTAAACATGTAGACATACATTGCACAAGGAACCTTACACTGGTAATGGGAAAGCTGAGCGTTGCAGTCATTGTGTCCCTAACTTGCCTTGTACAGTCCAAATTTCAGTTTCCTCTGCCACGTAATTTGGTAAATAACACGCACCAGCTGTGATAAATTTTCAAGACCGTAACATCACGTTTGATGGCAGACGAGCTTTATCTGCAAAACTGTTTTTTTATGTCTTTTCTCAACAGCGTGATCTCTTCGGGTTTCCTATTGATTAAATACAATCAATGAGTGGCGTTAATTGGAAATCATCTAGTGCGATGATTGAACACTTAGTTTTCTTGTATATGACATAAGCAAGTACTGTATAGTTGATACGCTTTATCATGTTTTAGATGCATTATACAAGCTTTCCTGCATTTTTAGTAGTTCCAACCGCGCAGATATAATCGGTACCATTACAAGGTCAAGTACATCGAACCTATAGCTGTGATTCGTGTAATCGCTTTTGTTTGCTGGATATATTTTCACGAATTGACACGCCATCATCAGCCATGCCCAAACTACTGCTGCATGAAGGAATCCCCAAGCCATTTCTATCTGTCACGGTCCCATGATGTAACAATTCACCGAGTACCTTCACGTGAGCTCATTTAATCGTTCCGTCTCCATGGTGGGTGCTATTTCCATGCAGAAAACAAGGAAACAGCTTCCATAACTCAAACCCCATTCATAAACTTTGCCACTACAGTAATAATGCCGAATGTGTGTTTTTTATCAGCACTGTCCAGTCCAGCTACCTGTGTTTGAGCTTGTCTTCACATGTGCAAAAATGCAAACTCCTGACTTGATACTTGACTATTATAAATATTGACTTAAAGCTTTAGTGACTGCAGGAATTCATATTCTTTGGGTCTTTCGGTAAAGTCATGTAGATAGGTTCAAAGAAACGTCGTAGTTTTTTGTTATTTTGTTATTTTCTTTGAACCTATCTACAGGACTTTACCGAAAGACCCAAATAATTTGACTGTCATAGTTACTTTAATGAAGAGCCTGTAGCTGTCTCAGACGGGCCCCAGTGTACCGGTCGGCTTATCACAAACAAATAATTAACAAAGATACTCAATTGACCAAGCAATAATTTTTCTCCCGCGAAACAATATATAAATGCACCCCTTGTGACTTTCAAATATGCTGTAGTGCAGTTTATGCATAGATGTGAAATAGTATTGTAGTAAAAGGCACATTTCTGATGTATTAAAGTGAGATAAAGAGGTTGTGAAGGTGTTTATCACAATATACCATTTTAGAAATAAATGAAAGAAGGGAAAAAGCTAAATAACCTGTTTTAGAAGGTGGGGAATACATATCTGGTAAAGCCTCATTGATTCCACCGTGTAACAAATTTTTTGTTCCTGGGTAGTAAGTGTTATTTCCTAATTGCTTATGCATCAAAAGTAAAGAAAATGGCTATTATTCCCCACAAACTTTGCTTTTGTGACCAGGACAGTGATATTTTGAAATTTACCTATTTTCAATGAGAAAACGGGTCGAATTTGTGTCTTTTCGTTCACATGTCAGAAAAAAACAACATATGAATCAAAATTAATATGTATTTATACTAATGTAATACAAAAATGACTACAAAAGATTTAGACACCAAGGCGCACTACCACAGGCGGGACTGGCCACAGCGGACCGAGTTCTCTGTGGGGAGGAACAACGTCAAGTGGGAGCCACTGGTGGACCCCCGGAAGGTGCAACCACTGCACATCAAATTGGGCCTCATGAAGCAATTTGTCAGAGCTGTAGATAAGGAGTCGGCAGCCCTCAAGTACCTTCAAGACTTCTTCTCTAAGCTGTCTTGAGGCAAAGGTCAAAGCCGGTGTCTTCGCCGGACCACAGATAAATAAGATCCTGGAGTGCAATGAATCCCCAAGAAGCTCACTAGTAAGGAGAAAGCGGCTTGGAACAGCTTTGTCGCAGTGGTTCGTGGCTTCCTCGGCAATCACAAGGTTGAAAACTATGTGGAGCTGGTTGAGACTCTGGTGAAGAACTAAGGCACAATGGGCTGTAAGATGTCCCTCAAAGTCCATATCCTTGATGCTCATCTTGATCAATTCAAGAAGTACATGGGAGCGTACTCGGAGGAGCAAGGCGAGCGCTTCCACCAGGATATACTGGACTTTGAACGCCGTTACCAAGGACAGCATAACGAGAACATGATGGGAGACTACATTTGGGGGCTAATTCGTGAAAGTGATTTACAGTATAATCGTAAATCTCGAAAAACTACTCACTTCCAAATCTCTTGTAGTCATTTTGTATTACTTTAGTATAAATACACATTAATTTTGATTAATGATGTTTTTTCTGACTTTATGTGAACGAAAAGACACACATTCGCCTGTTTTCTCACTGAAAATAGGTAAATTTCAAAATATCACTATTCTGGTCACAAAAGCAAAGTTTGTGGGGAATAATAGCCATTTCTATACTTTTTAGGCATAAGCAATTACGAAATAACACTTACTACCCAGGAACAAAAATTGTGTTACATATTCTCAATACAGCCCTCTTTTTTTCAGTGGAGCCCTGTGATAAATGTTTGTACAATGCACTGCTGAATAAATTCAATCAGAATATCAGAGTAGCCCGAGGAAACCCATCATGTTGGAAGAGTCCACTTACATGATGATGTTTGTGCAATTCACCAACTCCTCGTACAAAGCCCGATTACAAC